AGGGTTTTGGATGTTTAGGTCTTAGGGTTTAGGGTGTTGAATTTCTAGGGTTTTGGGCTCACGTCTACCTGAAAACTGGAACCCATGGAAGTGCCTTGCGTGTCTTCTAGGACCTGGACACCTCAAAATGGCGGTGTTCCTTGTGAAAGTGGGTGTCCTGTTTTTTGGGGACCCTTCAAAATCGTGGTGTTCCTTTTAGGTGTCCCTCTCAAGCCAGCAAAAAAGGGTCCCAACTCAAATACCCTCTCCCCCCACCAAACCATACCAAGAGAGAAATCCGATGTCTTCCACGCAGAATCATGTATGTTGCCTGGCTTCATATCTCCGGCACCCCATTCTGGGATGAGGGCGAACAGAATGGGGTCCGTCTTCTTTTGGAGGGTACCTCTGTTTTTTGGGAAACCAAAAGGAACACCACCATTTTGGGGGTCCCCGAAAAAACAAACACACTCAATGGGGAAACCCCTGTTTGACAATTTGGAAGACCGTGGCGAATGAGTCTACCAATTCCAGCCAAGCGTAGCTGCAAGCGCTCGGTGAGATTGCAGCTCGCAAACCCATACTCGGTTGACGTTGGGTTTGGGGAGCAAACAAAATCGAATCTTAGCAGTTCAGTGGGGAATTCAACCACAAAACCACGACAAGCAAAAATGCAGAATGTGTCCCAACAACAACCCATGCAAAACCAACCTTGAAAGGTGCCTCGGAGGAAGTCGATCCTCTTCAATGGACCATTTCCCTGCCGTGGCATCGTGGGAAAACGGGTAGCCTCAAAAAGGCACAAACGCATGTACACCCACGCAAAGAAGGTGTTGCAACCTACGTTTTTGAGGCTCGGTGCCGCTTTGCGGGTTTTTAAAGGAAACCCACCAGGAATTCGCAAACATCCACAGTAGGGTCCCCCCCCCAAAAAAAAAGAAGAAGAACTTCCCCTGTCCAATGGGCATCCCACGCTTCCGGAATTGGGCTTGATTTGGCGGGCTTGCTCCCTTCCAAGCGAATAAGGTCGATCGCCTTAGTCCAAAGGGCAACTTTTGCCCACGATTCGGTCACACCAGCCATGTCCAAACTCAGCTTCCCTCGAATTGGCGGTTTGGATTGCTGGTTTGGGATTCGAACCCGAGATCTTGGAGAGGGTAAAATGGGACAACCACCAAACCACCAACCCAAACCCCACCAATTTGGGAGGGAAGCTCATGAATTATTGGCATATTCATGGCACCTCTGGTTTGCCCACCAGCGTGGTCTCCATCTTTCTTGGATGTTCAAGGGCTCCCTAAAGCTGCAAAAGCTCCACCCGCCGGCACCGGAAAAAGAAAAAAAAAGCCACGCGCGCGCCTCGCCATGGCAGGCGCAGCCAGCTTTCAGGCTCTGCCTGGAAAAAGAGCAGCGAGGGTCTCCCAAGAAACCTTCGACTCCCCACCAACTTGGGGTGAAGAGGGGAGAGGACATAGGTAAATGGGGTAACCGGTAAAGATGGCCAAACAAAGTTCAATGAGCTTGAAAGTCACTTGAGTCAACATACGATCCCCTGGAAAAACTGAAAAATCATGTCCAGTACGGATAGATGCCAACTAGAAACCAGCAGGAAACACATAACATGCTCTTAAGCAAATGGACACATCAGGGGACACATGGTTTGATGAACACACACACACACACACACCAAAAAAAAACACGTGTCACGCTCTTTTTTGTTTTGCAGAGGAAAAACAAAACATGCAAAAACAAAGGTCTCACAAAAATCGAGGGGCACAAAACACATTGTTGTTTCTTCTCTTTCTTCCGAAAGGGAAGGCGTGTTCCAGGCCTGTACTCTTGAACTCCTGGCAACTGGCTTCCGAGGTATACGAAGGCAACGGACGAAATTCCCGGGTTTCATTTCGGCGGTGCGAGATGCGGATTTCGCGAGACCCTCCACGGTAAGAAAGGTAGTGGACTGGGCCACATGCAGAGGTCGCCGCCCAGACCGGATATGGCACCAGCACGTGGTGCTTCAGACGACCCCACAGAGTCACCGGAAAAAAAGGCGGAAAGAAGTTACCCCGCATGATCTTTCGATCCAAAGCGAAGGTTCAGAAGGGGTAAGTACCCTCCAGTCCACAAATGGTGACCCGTATTGATTAACCGAAGTTTAGTAATAAGGGGTCCTGGTGTCAACCTGCGTTTACTGGGGAATCAGACCACTTTTGGAGGGGCCAAACCCCCCCCCCAGATTAATAAACTGGGGTTGGTTAGTGTGGGGTCAACATTATTCCACACAAGAAAAAAACAAGATCTTCCCCCGCCCCTAGAGAAGAAACTGGGGTTCATTCAAGAAAAACAAGATCTGTTGATGTCTGTCCTCAATCTGGCACCGATAAAGACAAATTGTGGCCAAGTCAAAAGCTAGCCTGCTCACGGCTCGAATATGTGGCTGCCATCAAGCTCACATAAGCAAAACAAACACCACGTTGGATATGTCTGTTTTAGTGGACCCCCAAGCTGGATTTTGGTTCTCCTTTTTTGATCTCCTCTTAAAGCCGCAAAGAAGGTTACTGCAACAAAAAGATACGCCCAGATCTCAGGCAAGGGTACCTTCTGGCTTCTGATGACCCGCAATTACACGCGTCCAGAGGCGCACCTTGGAATTGCCACCACATCCTCTCCCCCACCAACTTGCTTTGAGTGCCTTCAATAAACCAGGGCACCCGGCATCCCTGGAAATTGCCGTGAAGTCTTAGAAAAAAACAGCAAAATTGCTGAATCCTTCTGGCTTCCCTTTGAACAAACATGAGCAAACCCCAGAAAGGATAGCAAGTCTAATTTTGTCTCTGAACAAACCCCAAAAAGGATAGCCTGAAACAAAGACAGACCCACCTGCACTTGAGCCTCCTTATTTTCCAGGGCTGAAAATTCGTGCCGTCCGCGGGCCCCACCTGCGGCTGAGGCTCCTGGGCGAGAACCCAGGCTAAGTTCGATCGGTCTCACGCGGCAACCCGGCGCAGCGCGACTGAAGTGTTCGACCTCGCGGGGAGTTTCCGTTGCCCCAAAGGATGGCACCCAGAAATTTGAAAGGTGATACTGTGGATGGTGGCGAAATCCAAATCCGTTTCGCACCACGGAATGAAGCCATGGTTTTCAACCATTCTTCGTTGGTATTTACGTTGGGGAATCATCTTTTCATTCTTTCCTGGTGCGAAATGGATTTCGCAACCATCCACAGTATCTCACCTTTTGGGGACCATGACTGAGGTATTAGGAACCCACATCAAGGAACCCCAAAGAAAAACAAAAAATGCTCTTTGTTGTGTACCAAGGAAAATAGTCTTCCAATCAAAAAGCCCAACAGTTTCAAGGTCAACTGACCAATGCTCCCGGCTCCAACCTTCCGGTTTCTCAAACCAAGGCTCCTCCTACCCCCCACCCCCGTTTTTCCCCTTTCGCCCCGTCCTCCCGACGCCAGGGCCACCAACTGCTCATGGCGGCTCGGAAAAAGAAGCGCCTTTGAACCCTCCTAGGCCGTGGCTCTTGCAAACGAAGCCCACGCCCGTTCAAATGCTGACTGGATTTCGATCCTTTTGTGGAACCCATGGCCATATTAGACCCTTTGGACCGCTGATGTGCCACAATTAAAGCCACGAACGGCTAATAAACCCAAAAACTGGGAAAACTGTTTCCAAGCCATTTCCCTTTAAAGGGAACCTTCGTGGATCGATTGTTGTAGTTGAAGTGACCGAGGTCTGGCAGTGGGTGTTTGAGACAGCCAATGGAAAGGAGGTGCATGACCAATCCTTGGACATCTCCTTTGCTGTTGGGTGTTTGAGACAAAAGCACGGAAAGGAGATGCATGACCAATCCCTGGACATCTCTCTTTCTCTCTCTCTCTCTCTCGCTCTCTCTCTGCCAGGTTGTTTCCTAAACTCGGTTGACGTCGGAAGGGGAGCAACAATCTTCAAACTTTAGCAGTTCAATGCTCTTTGATTTCCGCCACTAAACCACAAGAAGCAAAAATGGCAAAATGCTTCCCAACAACAACCATGTAAGAGTTAGGCCCAGTTCTAGAATGTATATTCTGTTGTTTGCTTCACTTTGAGCACTGGCAAAATGTAAAACGTATCCTAAGTCTGCCTCATGTAAAGGCTCGAGAAGCGGCGCGTTTCGGAATACGATGCGCATACGCAGAGGTGTGACGTCGCTGAGATCGTCTTCCTTGCTTTGAGCCTCGTAGCTGCGCAACGAAGAGATCACGAAGCTCTGTTCGAAACGTCCCAAAAGCATTTATTGGGAGGCTCATTTGGCCTATTTGGCCTTTTGGTCAACACCAATGGGATCCCATTTTGGTTGGTAGGTGAATTCACCACCCATTTTAGAACCTATTTTAGTGGTTGGATTGGGATGTTCACTGGGGGTACGATTTGGGTTTTGACCCATAGCCATTTCTTGGGAGGTGCATCTGCAATTGGCGCGGGACATCCTTTTTCCTTGGGGGACCGATCAGGTGACCCCGAAATCCGGCGCTTCAGCCCTGCACTCAACTTGCGGGTCTTGGCAAACAACGCAAAAACAAAAAAACCAATCGGAACCCCCATCTGGCATTTGCTTGAGGTGCCCTTGAGAAAACAAATATTGACTGGTCGTTTTGCAGTTCGAGTCCAACAGGGAAAAGCTGTGGATGGACGAAAAACCTGCGCCACCTAAGAAATATGATGATTCCCCTGTAGATTCCAACAAACAATGGTTTCAACCATGGCTTCATTTCGTGGTGCGAACTGGATTCCGCAACCATCCGCAGTAGTAGGCTGCCCCCCCCCCCAAAAAAAAAAACTCCAAAATCCTTCCCCTCACCAGGGAAAAGGGCAAATATTCTCAAGCAAAGGGAAGGAACTCCGTCTGCAAAGTTTAACATAATTCCAAAAGATGAATTAAGAATTGGATTTCCAAGTAAAGGACCTCTATCATGGCTTTCGCTCCTCGAAAGCCATTTTCCCATTCCCACACCCACTCTCACCACTCTCCGCCTGCACCATCAACAGGGCCCAGCTTTTCGGCGGGCCGTCCGCCTGCGTGGCTCAGGAAAGAGCGCTTTGTTGCCTTCTTTCCAACAACCCCCCCCCAATTTTGCTTTTTTTTGCACATTGACCTATTCACACACTCCTCTGACATGATGGCTCAAGGCCCTTCAAGTCATTTGTGCAGTCATTCGATTCATGGTACATTCATAAAAAGGCTTGCAGACCGCTTTACAGGATTCACACTCAACACAAGCCACCAGTCACAATCCATCCTCCAATCCTCCATATTGGCATATTGCGCTCTCTCTCAAAAAAGATCCAGCGACCAAATCAACGACCTCTACTACCACAGGGTACCAGTTCCCTTTCTGGGATAGTCACCCCAGCAGTGGGCCTTGCAGGTTTTCTGCAGAGATCCAAGGGAAGATGTCATCCGATGGAGAAGGCTTCATGGAAGCCTATTCAAGTATGGCCAAACCAACAGGCTATACGGAGGAAACACTCAATTTATCGATGACCACAAGCAGCCGTCATCGTACGACGGAAAAGTCAGCTGGTTTAGGTATGAAGAACTCGTGGACGACTGGGTGACAATCACTACGGTGGAAGCATCCAAGAGAGGACCTCTGCTCAAGAGCAGACTCACAGGAGATGCCTATATGTACAAGGCAGTCCTCCAAAATGACCTTTTGCAAGATCCTGATGAAGGAGTCAACTACTTCAAGAACACGCTGAAGAAGTACTTTTTGAAAGGTGCGACCAACGTGTATCTGAACAGGCTCCTCAGTTTCTTCAATCATAGAAGGCAAAACCAAGAGTTCCTCATTTTTACATCAAAATTCGAAATCCTTCTCATGAGATTGAAGGCAGCATGGATGGACTTGATGCCCGTTTTCACGGCACAGCCCCCATCATTTCGACAGTCCGTACAGGACGCGAATGCAAGAACAATTGCTCGACATCAGCAAGCAGCTGGTACTCGAGTACCGCCTCCAGTCCTGCTCAATGAGGATGATCCAACAGTCCTCAGACAGTATATCACGGGAATGCAGGACAGACAGCGGGACGCATTTCCCTTCGGGGATAATCTCATTGCGCAGATTTTCATTATACAGAGTGAATTGTCAGATCAGCAGAGAGAAAGACTGACAAGTGCAATGTCATTGAGAAACATTTCACTAGAGAACTACTCCTGTGAGATGTTGAAGACGCACTACCATGAACTCTTCATCACGACCAGAACATCCATTCAAGATCCGTCCATCCGACCTCAAGGAGGCAACCGAAGCAACACATTCTTCATCATCGAACAAGGTGAATACGAAGGAGAAGAAGGCTTTTGGCTTGAGGATGAAGAAGGACTTGAAGGATTCATGTCAAACAACGATGAAGAGACATTCTGGGTCCTCGAGGAGAACGATGCGTTCATAGCAAGAAAAGTGTCAGGGCGGAATTTCAGATTCAAGAAGAGAAAAGGAAAAGGAAAATCAGGAAACAAAAAGGGCAGTCACCAACGAGGTGGCTTTAAACCCTTCAGAAAAAGCGGTTCTGGCGGAAAGGCCAATATGGCCAATGAGAACTATGATCCCTACGACCAGGCAAATTGGGGAAAAGGCAAAGGAAAGAAGGGAAAGAAAGGAAAATCAAAATTCCAATATCCCTATGATGGAAACAAGGGTTATCCACCCTATGAGAATGGCAAAGGAAAAGACGGAGGAGCAGCCCACCATCCAGCAGACTGCACCATCCACAGAGCCTACCTATGCCGGTTGGACAGACCAAGATTGTTGATCAATCATGGACATGGAATGAACAAGGCTGGTACTCATCCCATGAGACATCCAGCACAGGACAAGCGCTAATGGCATTCCATGACACATATGAGCATCATGAGAAAGAGGCCATCCACGGGAAGCTGATCCAATCAGATGAAGTTTCAGAACACAATTTGTCCGTCACAACAAGTCACAGCCTTTTGGCAACAAAGCTGATGGCGCCTGTCATCAACCCTCAGCACAATCCGACCTATGCGATCCTGGACAACGGATGTACCAGATCCATGGGCAGCTGGCATGCAATCCAGCGTTTTACTCAGGCCATCGAACCCATGAAGGACATCATCTCCTATCAGTACATCCCGGCCGAGACCAAGTTCACTTTTGCAAACGGAGAGACCGCCAGGGTAAATTGGACCCTGCATCTTCGATATCACACAACTCCTCCATGCAGTACAAACATCGACGTCCTTGAACAAGGAACTGTACCGATCCTCCTCAGCATCAGTCAGATGCGGAACCTCTACATGACCATCGAGCACACACCTCAATGTGACAAGATCACATGCAAGGCTTTTGGCATGAACCGTCAAGCAGTTCCGGTATCCGGTACAGGACATGCACTCGTCGATCTCGCTGGACTTGCAAGAGTGAAGGCACATGGAGAAATTGCTCATAAGGGCCTCACCAACTACGTCTACGATGATGACAACAGCATCAAGTTTCCCTCCGGGGATATCTCCAAGAGTGAAACTGTTTGTGCAGCAAAATCATCCGAGACGAAGGAGGACCTAGCAACTCCTAAAATCATTGGGTCTCAGAAGCAGGACCGTTGGATCCTTGACAAGAAGAACAAGCAGCTCATCCGTGTGCACATCACGCCCCGAAAGGCACTGTTCACACCAAATGGAGCCAAGGAATGTCCAATCAATCCTGATAACATTAGCCGAGAGCGTACTACGGAAATCATTGATGCATCCGAAGGTGGAGATCCAGACATCCTAGAAGACAATTGGAGACTTACATCCCAGGCAAACAAACCTATGAATAACCTGTGGATAGGTAAGACCATTTTCACCTTCGCGGACAATTAAGGACGAAGAAGCAGGCTCAGGATCGGCAGCAGACAGGATCATCGACAAGAAGGGCCGGTCGACCATTGAGCCAGATCCTTTCGCACCATCCTTAGAAGAACCAACAACGCTTCCGCTTGCATTAGGCAGAATCCACAAGCGATTGTCAAATCCCGAAGAGTTGAAGAAGCTCCACCTCCAGCATCATCACATGACAACAGATCAATTTCGATTTAGAAATCGCTCACTTCATTTGCCGAAATCAACATTCGATCTATTTGACAAAATCAGAAGTGATTAGCTTGTTGCACCCCACTCAGAACCATGTGCATGTGTGGGCAGACAGTACCATGCATGGAGACACAGTCAGGTAGTTTTCCTTTTGTAGGAGTTGTCAAGACAAACAATTCCTGTGAGAACATGCTGTACAGTTTGGCATGTGAACAAACGTTTGATACCGGAGGGCTTTTAGATGCTCAAGGAAAAGTGCGTTGCTCGCTTTTCTTTTCATGGTAGCGGAGCCGCGGTATTCTGTCTGGTGAACTTTTGTGCACTATGGCAGATGGTGGAGATGTGCCTGCTGCTGGTGCAAATGACATAGCTACGCTGTTACAGAGAATTGCAAGTGCGACAGAAGCAGCGGTTACAGCAGCCAATGCAGCAGTGGGAGCTACACAGTTGGTTGCAGCGACCGGGGGGAGCGGTGGTGCTCAGAGCTCCACCAATGAATCCAAAGACTGGTACCGCATGCTTCCTCGCCCAGGCAATTTTGCACCTCAGACACGAGATGAGGAGTATCAGCAGTTCAGAGACTGGTTTTGGTCGGTTGAGCAGTATTTGGGAGCTATAGATCCTGGTTTTGTGGAAGACCTTGCCTACATCCGGAACCATTTGAGTGCGACTTTCACAATGGGTACTTTGTCTGAGAAGGCGAGGGCGAGATCTACATTTGTGTATGGATTGTTGTCCTCGTTGGTAAAGAACAGACCACTGTTGATTATTCGGGGTATTGGTTCTTCAAATGGATATGAAGCAGTTCGATGCCTTATTGAAACGTGTCAGCCGCCGGATCGCAACAGGTCGCTTGCCTTGATGAATTCCTTGATGACTTGGCCTGGATTTGACATGATGCAATCTCTTCTTGGGCAGATCCTGAAGTTTGAGGAAGCTGTTCGTGAGTATGAAAGGATTGCAACTGAACTTCCTGAGAGCATGAAAACTGCTATTCTAGCACGTTCTGTTGGTGGTCAACTACGAACATATTTGAGTGTGCAGCTTTCAGATGAGACGAGTTCTGGAGCTTTGAGAGACATGATTTTGCGGTATGATCAAGCGACCACTCGTTGGGACCATAGCATGAGTTCCAGCCCGGCCAATTTCATTACAGACATGGACAACCAAGGCTTGGCATCCATGGAGGTTGACAAAGTCAGCAAAGGAAAAGGCAAGAGCGACAAGGGCAAGAAGGGCAAACAAGGCAAGAGCCAGTATCAGCAACAGAACCCAGGAAAAGGTTATGGCGGCTATCAGAACGCGCAGAACTGGAACCTGGGGCAGAATTTTCAGTCTGGAAAAGGCAAAGGGCAGTTTGCGAAGAACCCGCAGCAGAAGGGCAAAGGCAAAGGCAAATCAGGCAGCAAAGGCTACGGTTACCAGCAGCAGGGCAAAGGTTTCGCTCAGCAGCCCAAAGGTGGTCAGACTTGTTATGTGTGCGGCAAACCAGGTCACCTTGCGAAGCAAGGTTGGCAACAACAGAGCACCAGGCAAGTCATAGAGCCCACCAAGGCAACAACATTTCGCAGCGACACCAGTGCGTCAGGGCAAAGCTCCATGGTACCACCCAGCAGCGCAAGCAGTTCAAGTGCAAACACAACAGGAAACAATCGAGTGAATCGTATTCAGCAGACACTGCCGATTTTTGCTTTGGATGAGGATGACGATTTGTTTGCAGATGTGCATGATTCCTTTGGTTATTCTTGCAACATGATCCGCAGCTGTCTTGCATTCGATATTAGCGATGAGGCAGGTTGTGAATTTGCGCCAGCAGATTTGCCTGTGTACGATCTGCGCTCATGTGTGATAGAAGATTCCACAGTTTGCAGCATGGAGCAGGCATTTGCATGTGTGAGGACAGTTGGTAGGAGGACCTGTGTTGCAGACCAATTCGACTGGACGGATATCGTGTTGGACAGCGGCAGTG